TGCCCCCCCCCCCCCCCAAGGACTGCACTCTAAAGTTGCCCTCATGGTCCCCAAAACCCACGAGCCCGAAACTGGGCTCTTGCTAAGGAGTTCAAGTTGGGTTACCCCAATGAGGATGTAGGGCATACATAGGGTTTCTGTCTTATGATAACTTAAACTAAACCCTAAACCCTAATCTGTAGAAGCCAGGAAACCGACTTCGAATAGGAAACCGACTTCGAATCTGTGGGCCCCCGGCAGCAAGCAGGTCCTGCCCTAAGGTGAGCTCATCTGCCCTGGCCAGCTGTTTGGGCTGCAGGCTCGTGTCTGGGCCTGAAGGGTTTAGGGTTTAGGGATGAGGGTTTAGAGATTAGGGATGAGGGTTTAGGGATTTGGGTTTAGGGCCTGAAGGGTTTAGGGTTTAGGGATGAGGGTTTAGAGATTAGGGATGAGGGTTTAGGGATTAGGGCCTGAAGGGTTTAGGGTTTAGGGATTAGAGTTTAGGGCCTGAAGGGTTTAGGGCGGCGTAGGGTGTAGACTTCAAATCACCAAGCCCTTCCCAAAGACTTCAAAACCCCCCCCAGCTAAGGAAATGTCCTAAATCACAGCAAGAAGAGGTACTTTGCTTAATTGAGGGGTTTGGGGAGTCTCTATACAAGAATCTCCAGCTTGCTGCAGTTCGAGGTTTTGACAGCATCAGCCCCTGTGGCAGGTGACTTTGCCATGCTAACGCGGCTCATCTGCTTCAGTCGCCACTCCGTGTCCTTCGCAGTTTGGCTACCTGCCGCCCTAAACTTTCGAGAACTGCATGTCTCCATACCATGCGTCCGCAGGGGGGCAGCAAGAAGTCCGGGTACCAGCACCACACAGCCTCCTGACATGTCATGAAGGGTTTTCCTGTGAGATCGGCCATACAAACCACGTTGTGTGAGGTGGCCACTTGGTGCAAGTGTTCGCATCGGCAGCTTCTGTGTGCATGCCCTTCTTCTCCAAGGCAGTGATGACGCTTTCTCCATGCTAGAGCGAGTGCTTGCCCAGGGTGCGCCTCAGGACCTACCTGATGTCGCACGGGTCCATGGGCAATTGCACATAGCACTAGATCAACCAGACGGCGCAGGCGAATTGATGCACAAGACGATTCACCGTAATGACGGTCATGAAGATGCAAAATGTAGTTGTGCGTTGATGATGATGATGATGATGATGATGATGACGGTGATGTTGAAGATGGTGATGATGGTGATGATGAGGAGGATGAGGAGGAGAAGGAGGATGGCGGTGATGACGAAGATGATGAACACGACCACGGCAGCGTTGACAAATGAACCGTATTTTCTATGTCCTTTTGTAAGCTGCATTGCTTCTGACTGAACAAAGGTTCCTGCTCAGCCAGTGAAGGGACTAAGTTTCAGAGTATAGTTACTATGTGAGCCAGCGTGGCAACGGTACACAGTGCCCAGAAGCCTTCGGCGCTGCAGGGGGGAACCTTGCATTGCACTACCTGAAGGGTTATACCCGACCCCATCTTTTAAGGTACCGCCTTTTATGGTTAGGATCTGTTATACAGAAAATTTAATCACCAGATATGAAAAACCCCGACATCCTGGTGCATCCCAAACGCTAAAACTCTAAATCCTACACGGTCCTACAGCTCATCCTCTGCGCATCCTAAACCCTAGAACCCCAAATCCCACAACCTGAGTCCTGTGTGCATCCTAGACGCAAAATCCCTAAATCCTCCACCCATTCCAAGTCATGCGGAAGGCCCACCGTGCTGCCATGGCATGCATCGATACCTGAGCTACCAGGGCCACGATATCAGAAACTGCAACAGTGAAAGGGAAGGGTGGGGGGCTTTCGGGAGAATCGTTCAGAACCCTGTACGGAACCCTCAACATCTGAAGCATCCTAAACCCTTTAGAACCCTATAACCCCTTGATCCTCAAACTGAGATCCTGCAGGCCAAGTCGCATTGAAAGTTGCGTCTGCATCCCGAAACATGCGACCAATGATGACCTACTTACCCACTACCCAAAGGATCGAAGCTCAAGTTCCAGCAAGGATGCCAAAGAACTCGAGCCCAAGAAGCCTAACGGCTAGGTGTTGGAGAACTCAGATAAAACCTAGTCGGTTTGGGGAACCTGACGAATTACTTGGGTGGGTGGGTAGGTGGGTGGGTGGGTGGGTTGGTAGGTAGGTGGGTGGTAGGCAGGTCGGTAGGTAGGTAGGTGTAGGTGGGAGAGAAGGTAAGGTAAGGTAACGTAAGGTAAGGTAAGGTTAGGTTAGGTAGGCAGGTAGGTAGGTCAGGTAGGTAAATTTATGTAGCAGGTGGGTAGGTGGGTAGTTGAGTGTGTGCGTGTGTGCGTATGTGTGTACGTATGTATGTGTATATATATATATATACATACAGATATAATACATTATGGGGTATATGTGTGTGCGTGTATGCGTCTGTGCGTATATGTGAGCACACATGTGCGACTGCACACACACACGCACAGATATGTATATATATATATATATAGATACGTACATACATACATACATACATACATACATACATAAATACGCACATACATACATACACACATACATACATACATACATACATACATACATACATACATACATACATACATACACACATACACACATACGTACATACATATACCTGTACACACATACAGGGCATGTACATAGGTACATACGTCATATCATATCATGTCATACTGTAACATATCATTTCATGCTACATATCTATATATATATATATATTATATCTATATATGTGTATATATATATATGTTATTCCCTTGGAATCTAGGTACTAGGTCCCGGCTCGGGTCTCCTGTTGCTTATGAGGGTCTGTCTGTACGTGTGTTTTCATGTCTGTCTGGGTATATAACTATGCATGTGAGTGTGTGTACATATGTGCACAACACTAAGTTGATTATCACCATGACCGAAAGCAAACATCATGATTCATTGAAAGCTCGCACTTTCGCTGCTATGGTCAGCAAGGCATTGCTGTGAGAAGCTATGTCACCACTGATGCTTTGGTTAGAGGGACAGGCCGACACACAGACGGACGGAAGGACGGACTGACGGACAGTGAGTTAGTTAGCTAGTTAGATCGATCGACAAACGAACAGCAAGGGAGATGTATAGCCCGCTGGCTAGTTAGCTAGCTGGCCCACCGGCCCTCGTTGGGGGTTAGCCGCAAAGCAACTAGAAGCAACTAGCAAAGACCTGAAATCGGAAAGCAGTGAAGTACCGACATCTGTGCATCTCCGCCATGCTGCCCAGTATGAGCACGTACGGGGCCAGCCCGTGTCTCGGCATGTCCCACTCCTAGGACGGAGTTTAAGAGTCCAGAGCATTGGTTTAGGGTTGAGGACTAGACTTTAAGGCCAAGGCGTTAGGTGGATTTCGAAGCTTCGTTTAAGATGGTCGGCAAATCTGTTAAAGGGCCAAGCCTCTGGAAGGGCTCAGGGCCGAACTTGTAACTAGCACATAGCTCCCGGGGAAACTTGTAACTAGCATTTAGCTCCCGGGAAAAATGCAAATGCAGGAGAAGACTCTGGCACCTGGTTGTGGCCAAGTCGCAGTAGCTAGCCACAAAACTCCGAGCTACTGTGGCGGCCTTCGAGGTAGACTAGGGTTTAGGGTTTAGGATTTAGGGTTTAGGGCTTGGGATTTAGGGTTTAGGGCTTGGGGTTTAGGGCCTAATCCCGGGGTGCTAACCATTTGAATAAGGTTTTGAAGACATGATCGTAACAAAAAACATGTGCGGACGATAGGGGGTACCTACCACCTCTACCTAACTATCCTGATCCCTTTATTGGCTCTATCCTGACCCCTTTATTGGCTCTATCCTGATCCCTTTATTGGCTCTATCCTGATCCCCTTTATTGGCTCTATCCTGATCCCTTTATTGGCTGATCCAGGAATCAAAAGACATGCATACTACGCTCCCGGCTCCAGGAGTTGGAACCCGAGATGGGAGCCCGTTGCAGCCCGAAGCTCCAGAAGAAACGCTCAGGTTCGGGTTTAGAGGGTCAGGGTCTTAGGATTTAGGGTTTAGGGCCTTTAGGGTTTAGGGTTTAGGGATTTAGGGATTTAGGGATTTAGGGTTTAGGATTTAGGGTTTAGGGTTTAGGGCAGAGGGCTTCGCCAGGTATCCAGTAGTATCGGAGTGGCTCCGTCATCTTGGCCTGCTTGTAGTCCTCTGGTGTTCTTTAGGGTTTAGGGTTTAGGGTTCCAGCACTCATCAATTCTTTCAGGACCTGCGCAGGCACGAGAGGGTACGAGGCAAATCAGTTATGGACAAGGACAGTGGCTAGAATACACAACAAAACACAGCATGTAAACCAATCAGCACCCAAAAATCTAGGAATAAACTAAACCCTAAACCCTAAACCCTAAACCCTAAACCCTAAACCCTTGCTTTTAGGTATTGGGTTACTAAAACATGAGAAACGGCCCCCTGGGAGCTGCTCCTTCGAGGAGCCTTGGGCTGGCCATGAGGATCGTCGCTGTGAGGGCTTGGGGCTAAGGGGCTAAGGGGCTAAGGGGTTTAGGGTTTAGGGTTTAGGGGTTTAGGGTTTAGGGTTTAGGGATAAGGTCTTCAGCGGCTTAAGGCTTAGGGCGCAGGGTTCACGGTTTAGGGTCTAGTGCGTGTAAAGCATGACCCCATGCGCAAAGATGACACGCTTGTTGACCACGAGGCTGTTTTTCGAGGAAAAGTGATCGTAGACCCGACTTGAGTTCTTGCTTGTGATTGCACTTGAAACGTTCCGGGTTGGTGGTTTAAAGGTAGGGTTCTGATAGGGGCCCTTCGTCTTCACATAGGTTATCAGCCGTAAAAGCTTTAGGGCTAAGTTGTCTATCCGTAAGGTTAGTTGTTCCGAAGTCTTGGGTGCCATGGATGCCGTCTCAAGGAGGCGAAGATCTCAGAGACCTGTAGAGCCGGAAGCAACAGTTGAGGATCAGGATTTGCAATATCAAACAGCCTTGGGCCAAACAGGGGCTCCAGGAAATCCTCCAGAGGGATTGTGGCCTGGCGAAGCGTCGCCGGGTACTTTGGAAATGGGTGGAGTGGCAGGGACCGCTCCCCTGGAGACACTCCCTGTGGCGAATCCCTTTCATAGCGAAAGGATGAAGACTGAAGTGGAGTTGATCAGGGCTAGACAGTCCTCCCTGGATGAAGACGGACTGAGGGTTGGCCGTGAAGTTGACGAGTCGGCCTTGGGTGACACTGCTGGTGTTGGGCCTAGTTTGGAACCAAATTACGCTG